TGGGGGGGACCCCAAAAAACAAAACCTGGGAACCCCCAAAACCCCTAAACCCCAAACCTGAGAACCCCCAAACACCAAAGACCCCAAACCTGGGAACCCCCAGAACCCCAAATCTGGGGGGGGACCCCAAACCCCCAAACCTGGGACCCCCCAAGGCCCCCATCCCAAATCCGGGGTGCAGCCCCTCCCCCCCCAGCCCTGTGGATCCCCAGCACCCCCCGAGGCCCCCAAAGCCACCCCCAGCGCTGGGGGATGTCCCCAAGCCCCTGTCCCCAGTGTCCCCATGTCCCCAGTGTCCCTAACCCCGTGTCCCCAGTGCTGTCCCCAGTGTCCCCATGTCCCCATGTCCCCAGTGATGTCCCCAATGTCCCCAGTGTCCCCTCACCGCCATGTAGGCCGCACAGCCCGCGCTGTGAGTGCTGTCCCCATGTCCCCAGTGTCCCCAATGATGTCCCCATGTCCCCAATGATGTCCCCATGTCCCCAATGATGTCCCCAGTGTCCCCAATGATGTCCCCATGTCCCCAGTGATGTCCCCAGTGTCCCCATGTCCCCTCACCGCCATGTAGGCCGCACAGCCCGCACTGTGAGTGCTGTCCCCAGTGTCCCCAGTGTCCCCAGTGTCCCCAATGATGTCCCCATGTCCCCTCACCGCCATGTAGGCCGCACAGCCCGCACTGTGAGTGCTGTCCCCATGTCCCCAGTGTCCCCAGTGCTGTCCCCATGTCCCCAATGATGTCCCCTCACCGCCATGTAGGCCGCACAGCCCGCACTGTGAGTGCTGTCCCCATGTCCCCATGTCCCCAGTGCTGTCCCCATGTCCCCAATGATGTCCCCATGTCCCCTCACCGCCATGTAGACCGCACAGCCCGCGCTGTGAGTGCTGTCCCCATGTCCCCATGTCCCCAATGATGTCCCCATGTCCCCTCACCGCCATGTAGGCCGCACAGCCCGCACTGTGAGTGCTGTCCCCATGTCCCCAGTGTCCCCATGTCCCCAATGATGTCCCCATGTCCCCTCACCGCCATGTAGGCCGCACAGCCCGCACTCCGGGTCTTGGCCTTGGAGTCCACCAGGCGGCCGCTGATGCCGAAGTCGCAGAGTTTGACCTGGCCCCGCTCGTCCAGCAGGATATTGGAGGGTTTGACATCCCTGTGGATCACCCCGTGCTTCTCCTTCAGGTACAGCAGCGCCTTCACGATCTGGGGACACCGATTGTCACCTCTGTGTCACCTCTGTGTCACCTGTGTCACCTCTGTGCCACCTCTGTGTCACCTCTGAGTCACCTGTGTCACCTCTGTGCCACCTGTGTGCCACCATCCCTGCCCAGAACCCAGACACATCCCCACTGTCCCCAGTGTCCCCAGTGTGTCACCCCGCGCTTCTCCTTCAGGTACAGCAG